AAAAAGTACCACCATTGAGGAGGCATGTGCTTCTTAATGTTTATTGAAGTTTAAACATATAGTGGTAGCTTTTTAACAACACTACAACTAAAGTTGTGTTAAAATTTCCCGACCTACGAACACAGTAAACTGACAAATGAAGGTACAATAACATACATTGTACTAATAAAGAAATGTTTGCTACACTGTTCAAAATTAAGTGGAAATTGTTCATGCTAAGAAGAACCGCGTTCGCCTTTTTTAGAAACAAATAGTAGTAGGACAGAGCATGATTTGATGATCTGTCAAAATTTTGTGTAGAAGAGTAGAGATGGGATCGTCTAAACGCAATATGTAACCATCCACCATCACACATTGAGAGAAAATTTGACAGTCGTATGGCTCTCTTCATGTTTTGAAATGATTCAAATGATTCGCATTAGATCAGGGATGTATTTTTATGTAAACACATACAAAAAAAGTGAAACAGCTGTTTCCATGTTACTATGTTATTGTTTTATACCAATCGTGTAAACACAAAGAATATAAATCATACGACTTTTATTCTCTTTTTTGTCATACGGATGGAATTTCATTTTACTTTTTCATTAGACTTTACGTACGTAAAGTGTGATCGTGTAAAGGCCCCTTAAATAAATTTTTTATCAGATGACCGAGTATTCTCATACTCTGGGCACTTTTGACAAATGCTACTAGCATCGATCGAATCAGTAGTAGGGTTCTATAGTTGAAACGAAAAGTCGACTTTTCGACTTTTTGCATTTAGTTAAAAGTCGACTTTTCGACCTTTCGACTTTTTCCATTTTATGAAAAGTCGATTTTTCGACTTTTCGACCTTTTTCATTTATTTAAAAGTCGACTTTTAGACTTTTCGACTTTTAGTATTTTATAAATGGTCGACTTTTCGACCTTTCGACTTTTTCCGACTTTTCGACTTTTTCCGACTTTTTTCGACTTCTCGACTTTTTTCGACTTTTCGACTTTTTCCGACTTTTTCCGACTTTTTTTGACTTTTTTCGACTTTTCGACTTTTTTCGACTTTTCGACTTTTTCCGACTTTTCGACTTTTCGATTTTTTACGACTTTTTGACTATTTTCGACTTATTTCGACTTTTTTTCGACTTTTTTCGACTATTTTTTTACTTTTTTCGAGTTTTTCCGACTATTTTAGAGTTTTTGACCTCTTTTCCACTTTTTTTAAAATTTTCGACTATTTTCGACTTTTCGACTTTTTTCGACTTTTTTCGACTTTTCGACTTTTTCCGACTTTTCGACTTTTTCCGACTTTTCGACTTTCTTCGACTTTTTTCGACTTATCGACTTTTTTCGACTTTACGACTTTTTTCGACTTTCCGACTTTTCGACTTTTTTCGACTTTTATTTACAAAGTCGACTTTTCGACTTTTTTCATAGACGATAGTCGAGTTATCGACTTTTTTGGAACAAAATAGTCGACTTCGACTTTTCGACTTTTTTCGACAAAAAGTCGATTGTTCGATTATTCGAAAGTCGATTTATAGAACCCTAATCAGTAGCATTTGTCACAAGTTCCCTCTGATGATCTGGCCAGATTTCAGCAGATCGTAACAGATGGGGGATTTTTGTACCCCCCAAATAAAGAGGATGACCAAAGTGCCATGAATATTTAATCATTGGTGTCCATTTGGCTTGTTGGCCGTGCTTCACATACATTATTATACAATTCGGGTTATCGTAATGGATCCAATTTTAAATGGCAAGTAATAATTCGGTACAAAAACATTTTAGCAGCATTTCGAACACGCAAAATCTATCTATCGAGGTCTATCGGCTTCAATTCGTATGGTACCTGCTTTTGGAATCCTTTGAAATTGCTGTTTGAGTATCTCCCAATGATTTTGTAATCCCTTGTTGAGTTAGACAGTATTAGATATTCAAACTCTCTTATTCTTCTCTAATTTGAATAATCTTGTGAGTTCCAGTGTTCTCCGAGAGAACCAACAGGAATTTCTTATACATTTTATTACATTTGATATACTTTATATAATGAAGGACTCTGTTATAAGACACAGAGAAGGTATTGTACCAATTCTACTTCTTTATCTAAAATATTTCTGTGAGACTATACGAAACGATCTGACATGGGTCCAACCATTATAATGCCAAGTAAGTATGCTTATTTAACAATATTCTATCAAGGACATGGAAAAGTAAGGTCTTTTTATTAAAAAAAATGGTGTATTGTGGGTAATCTGCAAGTAGTAATAATGGACCAATTGAGTTCCAATATTTCGCTTGTCATTCATTGATTCTGTTCGATAATTTTGCGGATCATTATCCTTAATATCGACAAGTTTTTCTGAGAACAGGGAGTCAGAGATTCGAGTTGAGATTCATAAAGATTCGGAACTATCCTTGTTGATGTTAAGATTAAGTTTTTATATTCCTCTCGCCTCTACATCGATGGCGTAAATGCTTGAAAAACAGTACAGACATTATACAAGTATGTCGTCTCTAAAGAACAGTGTTTGATCGATGTATCAAGATTTAGTTTAGATTACACTAGCGATCCTATCAATGAAATTCTGGGATTTTATAATAGATCGTTTCGCCAAGAAAAGATTTTTTGACATTACATACCGTTGGCAGAAATTAGCCTCTTATAAGGAACGCTATATCATCACTTGATTATATAAAAATCGTACACAAACATCTGTCAGACTTCAGTGACTTTAAGGAGGAATCCATGACGTTCCATAACTCCGAAGTTACATTATAAGCACTGGTTCTAGTGAAAAACTATACAACAGGATCTATAGTGATTTGTAGAACCTTCTGGTAACAGCCGGGATAAGCTACAGACATGTGTGGTTACTGGATTGAATGGCTCTGGTCTTAGATAGACAAAGCGTTTTGTGTGACCTTCGAATACTAACGCCATTATTTACTAGACACTTCGTATGTAGATCTTCTACTTAGAATATGGGATGAATCCTCTGAGTATTGTATCTGGAGTTGGGACAATATCAATGTAGATTCAGTATACACTCCTTACACTCGCTCTTCCACTTTTAGATCCTTTGTAAAGACGGACCGTCTATAATAATTTTTAGAACCTTCTGGTAACACCCGGGATAAGCTACAGATATGAGTGGTTACTGGATTGAGTGGCGATGTCACCTAGCAGTTATATCAGGTCTTAGAAAGGCAAAGCGTTTTGTAATCCTATAAAAGAGTTATTGTCGCCCATTAGTGTGACCTTCGAGTACTAACGCCATTATTTACTAGACACTTCGTATGTAGATCTTCTACTCAAAATATGGGATGAATCCTCTGAGTATTGTGTCTGCAGTTGGGACAATATCAATATAGATTTAGTATACACTCCTCACACTTGCTCTTCCACATTTAGATCCTTTATAAACACGGATCGTCTATATAGTTTTTATTCCAATTTCGAGTTCTCCGTGATGATCAAATCGAAGTTTCTACTAAATGAAAGTACAATAATCAGTATTATCCGGGAGATTTTATATCTCCCCAATAAAACAGGCTGCCATGAATCTGAATATGGTATCAGAATTTCTCATTCACATTATCCAGGTATCATGTTCCAAAGATTGAAAAATCAGTTTTGGCCACTTTTGGGATATTATGTAATCTTATGTTATGAAGAAATTCTGTCAGCTCGGTGCGATCGTAACCAATGCAATAAATACTCATCTGTTCCTCGACGTCCTCGCACAACCCACCGACCCAATTAAACACTTAAAAAGTCTTAATTGAAAATTACTTTACTCCTCCCGTTCAACACTTATAGTACTCTGTTTATCTAGGCATTTAACTTTAGCCATAAGACCTTGGAAACTCTGCAAACCATCCTACTATGCCAGGATCAGTTGATAGATTCCCTAAATTTTTCGAAGATCAACCTATAGTAGTGGCAGATGGGAGGTTTTACCCAAATTGCTTATCGAAGTTCATTGTGAATGTGTTCCATCAATCGATAGATGAATTTGTCAGTTTATTGAATGTTATACCAGGCCAATCAAAAAGTTTGAAGACCAAGAATTGGAGGCTGCTTGAACACTGACATGAAAATCAATTTTGCAACGAATCATTAATTGTGATGAAAAATTAATGTATTTAGATAATCCGAATGTAAGAATTCCGGGAAACCAGCCAAATATCCATGGCACTAAGGTATGGCTCTGTATTTGATGAAAAAAAGCTGAAATCTGTACCGAATGCAACTCACTCGTTTGTGGCGTGCATTGGACGAAAAAACGACCTGAATATGCAGCCTGACATAACAACATAAATGAAAATACACCCTTAATTTACATAATTAGCTGCTAATTATCAAATTTTGAAAAATACTTCAATTTTAAATAACACCCACTGAAATTACTACCGGTTTTTCTCAGCGTGTATTACGTCGTACAACTTTAGCTACTTGTACCTTCATCAACAAAAAAGCGACAACAATTTGTGGTCGTAAAAGAAATGGAAATTACTTGACTTGACTGTGGTCTTCTAGTAAATGGCTAATAAATATGAATGTCTGTCCTGACAAACAAATAACTCTACAAACACATATGTCAATATTATTAAATTGAATGTGTGAGACTGTCTGTCTGTCTGTCCGTCCATCCGCTGCAGGTTTGTGTTGTTGGTAGCTGCTGCGTTAGTAACTTTTTAGCACTTTGCTCGATTTTTTAAACACGACTTTAACTCATTTCTCTGATTTAGTTATTTTCATTTAGCACTGCATACGAAGAAAGAAAGACGAAAAAAGAATGTATGCTGAAGACTCGACCAAACTAAACCGAACTAAACTAAAATAAACTTGAAAATGTGTAACACTTTTTTTCGTGTGTGAAATTTGTTTTTTTTTTTTTTCTTTAGTTTAATTTTTCCCATTTATTCGATATGAAATTAAAACAAAATTTCTTTTAACAATGGCCACAATTCATATATCGTAGTCATTTAACGCGCGCAGTCGCAACGTTACGGACGGAAGGAAATTCAAATTACAAATTACATACACACGCGCATACATTTATGGATTTATAATTAAAATAATAACGCCTTTGTTTCATTATTTTTTTTTGTGTCTAATAACGATTTTAATTAAGAAAACGAATACAATTAATAACTGTTAATAAAGGATTTCGACAAAAAAAAACTAACGTTAACGTAAAAAAGAATTCAAATTTGAAATAATAACGCCCAAAGTTACAATTGAAATGAAAAAATACCGTTATGGTTTATTTGCCCTACTGCTATTTGGATTATTTTACTTTTCAGAAGGTATAAAGGATAACTTGGATTATATTTTATAAAACAAAAACTAAAGAAACAGAAAAATAACTAATTGTGTAATGAAATGTTAAAAAAAAATTATAATAATTTGTGCTGTTATTTAGTTAACGGTTATAAAAAAAAGAGAGTGTGCTAAAAAAAATTTAAATAATATTGAAAAAGTAAACATGTTTATCATAATAAAAAGGAAAAGTAAATTTTAAAATTAAAAAAAAAAAATATAGATAAATATAATCTACATGTTTTTGGCTAAAAAATCTAAAGCTTATCTTAAGTGTACGAGGGTAGTGTGCAAAATTGTTACAAGCAAGAAAATGTTTCAAAAACTCAATTAAACTAATATATATATATATTATTTATATTGAACACAAAGGATCCGGATTATGAACCAGTTTTAGAATAGAATGTATACAAATTCGATTTCGGGTCTGTAAACATAAATTTCCAAATCTGATTTGTAAGTTCTAATAGAATAATTTCGACGAATGCCTGAAAATGTTCCAATCATTTCAGTATCCCCGTCCGTTTAATAACATTTGCCCCAGCGTCAATTTACATTTATTTATAAAATCTCGTTTATCACCCAAAAGTCCAATCTGTTGACTTTAAAATAAAGATTTAACCATGTTTTTCTTTCTTCGAGAATTCAGAGATTCAGATTTAGCGCTGCACAATCCTTTAGAAAAGTATATTTTGGTCTCGTAAATTAAAAATTTCATGAATAATAAGGTCCTCTTCAGAAATTAACCTTGTATGCATAGGTTAGTTTAGAAAGAATAATGTATAATACATCAAATCTGAAGAAATACACTCAATTATTTGGAAATGTTGTTGGGAATAACATTATATAGTGCTATATAAAAAGTGTTATAGTCCGATTTTCAGAAACTCAGTTTCCTGGAAGTAGTTCCTAAGAATCTGCCAGTCAGTGTTCGTGCGATATGTTATATCGGGAATAACATTGATCTCGAGATATTTGGATCAAGAATTTCTCGGTCTACATTCGTTTGTATCCATACGTTTATCCAATTTTGTGTATTTGTACCTCTAATCCGTTGTGTCCACTAAGACTTCTTCATTCTGAGGAGGCTTCTCGTTATGATTACCACATACGATCCATTGCTTCATTATTCCAAGTGAATGTATAGGATTGTGTTTTAAATTTCAAATCCCTTTTCTTGTTTTAGAATGTATTTTCGCTCTTTAGTTGCCGATTATTCTCAATGTAAAACGTAGCTCTTTTACATTCCAATACGGACTTAAATTTAACCATCTAATTGCCTTTTGCCTGTCGGCTGGCATCATATTTTATAATCCAGTTTATACATTCCTGAAAGCTAGTGTTGTGATTATGGTTTTCAGTGCAGAACCCCTGGTCCGTTTTGTTACCCAGTTTAGAGTCATCTGATCTAATGATTCACTTGACAATTATATTCTATCTGAGATCAGAGTCTCAAAGTTTCCGAAAATTGGTTGACACCCAAAGATGTGGCAATAATATGGCAGAATTGGTTTAATCGCGCTTTTATAAAGCCACTGTGTCTAAGTGGGACTAGGCCCCATTCTACTACAAAGAACCCAGCACGATGTGCCTTGTTGATCCTATCCTCTAAGTGGTGTCTCCGGTTAAGGATTACACCTAAGTAATTAGCGGTAACCAGGAAGCAGGGCTCAATATACATACGTAAGAATTGTTGTCTTCTTTGTGAAAAAAACAGATTTCAGTCTTCGCAGGGTCGACATTCTCCGTTGAACCCAGCTAAAGGCCATGTTTAGAGCCTCTTCTGGCTATAAATCTGGTTACCTAAAATAAAGGGATGAGCAAAAATGCCAATTTCCTGATAGTAATATCATACACTGCTTATCCATCTGTTCCTTAGCATGTAGTTGAATCAGTTACGAAACACGAGGTCAACATAAAACTGGTCTAATTGGATAGTTTACCAATGTGTGTATACAGTTTGTTATCAAAAGATTTACCTATATAGTGTACAACTTTATTCAATGCTTCTTCAAACATGTTCATTAGATCCAACGTTGGCGGTAGTGTCGGAGAGTCAAAGGCAGGGAAATCTGATGTTCATAAATTTTTCAATAATATTAGTTTTAGATTGTGGAAATGCTCTTAAAGATATTATGAGAATGTTTAATATTTGGGTTCCGGGGTACTGCAATGCGATTAGTAATGAAGTTTCGGACGAACTAGCTAGATTGGGTTCGAACCTTGACATATGTATATGATAGGGATAGAAGAGTGAAACCACCTATCTGTCACTATTATATGTTGATTTTCGAGAGAATACGTGAAATCATCAACCAGTCCTTGGGTAGTCGAATGGATTGCAAAATATCAAAGCCAACACTTTATGTGAAGACTTCCCAGATACTTATGGGAATGCATAGGCGCTGTCTAAATATATTTTGACAGGATCTTAACGGGGTAATGCTCAATTGGAAAGCAGAAAAGTAAGAATATGCGAAGATGCAGAGGAACTAGACGATTGAGCACATAATTTAGAATACAGAATCCTAGAATACAGAATCTCAGGCTTCGAAACTTAACCCTCCATTCTACTACTTTTTATTAGGGGGCAATGGAGTCGAGTCGGTAAAAAGTTCCAGATGAAATCACTTGGAAATCAACTTGTTTTCATTCCTCTCAACTGCTTATTTAGTTTACTTTTTGTTTTTCTAGTGTTTTGTTTCTCTGTATTAGTCCTCATATTAGTCCTTATTCCTTACTGAAGATTTACCAACTATAGTAATACTTGTTCTAAAAACGACACATGTTTTGACGTGGGGTATATACGGACTCGGCTTGTTTATTAGTTTTTTTTCGCACCCATAAATTTTTTTTCACAAATTTATTACCATAATTTTATTATTTCTAGAAAATTAAACACAAGTGTTTATGTTGAAAAACTTGTTCATTTTCCATTAAACTTATCACACAAGCCTCGTTAATAAATACTTGTACTTTCTTTTTAAATCACACAATAACATTTTTTTTTAACAATGTGTTACTTTTTTTTGGTGGAAAAAATAAAAAATTTTTGAATGTAGGTTTATTTAAGAAATTTTAAAATAAATAACTTGTATGTAGTACGAGTAAGAACTCAAACTGGTTAACAAAAATAATGCACATAATCTAAACGTTAAACAATTTCACCCAGGATGAATGGGAAGCATTGATAAAAATAAACTATTTCACTCGAACTAATTCCCATTATATACTCTCTTACTACTCAGTTAATGTTTTTATGTTCATTTCACTCTAGGTAAACCATGTCCAGAGCGAACGAGACCCCACAAGACCCGCTGTGATGCCTATTATAAATGTACCGAATTAACGGCCGATAAACATGTGTGGGTGCCTACGCGATGCGAAGAAGGACTTGTATACGAACACACTCTAGCAGTATGTGTACTACCAGCCGATGATTGGGAATGTCTAATGGGTGACCATAAGACCAATTCCAATCCAACGCAAAAAAATGAAAAACGCCAAACAAATCCGACCAGTAATAAAGATGCTGACATTTATATAGTATCGAATGCTGAAGACGAAGAAAATAGTTTAAATAGTAAATTTGATGATGGCAAAGTGGAGATTATAATAGGACCGGGTATAAGTGGTGAGGATAAGGGAGAGGGCGATGATGACCAGCTGTATGATGGTAGTGGTAATGGTGGAGAATTGGTGGAATTGGATGGTTTTATGCCGGCACAAAATCGTGAAGCTGAAGATGATATGGGTGTATTAAAGGAAGGAGATGAAGTGAATAAGAAATATAAATTAGAAATCAATAAAGTGGAACAAAAAGAAGAACTAGAAGAAATGTTGCAAACTATAAAAACAAAAGCGGAAATAGGACAACCCTCCTCCAATATAGATCCCAAATTAACGGCACATTTACAAAGATTGTCTCAGTTAATAGATGGCTTAAAACAAACCTATCAGTCACCAGAAGCTAAACCACAAAATGAACAGGACTTAAGACCAGATCAACTGAATGCTTTTTTGGCACATTTTAATATTAAAAATAAGTTTGATAGCTTAGATCCCAATGAAGGATTGAAGGGTGTTAGTGGTTCCAGCACCACCACACCTAAGCCCAATAGAACTTTGCTTTATAAACAAGAGTTTAGTACGAAATTAAATCCCGAAACCAAGGTGGTATTATCAAATATGTTACCTCAACGTTATGGTGGCAATAATCATGACAATGGTAATTCCGGAGGTGGTTATTCTAATTCCCAAATTGTGGTTAATAGACCTGAGGGCTCGGTACTCTTTAGTCTACCCACTGAACATCATTTTATGGAACATCCAGAATATTCTTCTGATAATACACCCAAAATTTCCGAAGAAACTTTAAAAACAGTTTTAGAATTGTCCAAACAAATGATAGCTCAACAAAATGTGCCAAAGGTCATACCAAATCCCACTTACTTTGCCTCGCCCATAATGCAGCCTATACTATTGACTCCTCATGTCGATAGCCCCTTTTCTACCAATTACATGGGCGCTAGTTCTAGTGGTCTGGGATATTCAAGTCAATTTACTAATGGAGCGGTTTATAATCAAAATTTCAAGTATAAAAAACCGGGCAAAAGGCCACAACAACATAATGCTGTTAATAATGGTTATAATGGAAATGATAATGGAGGTTATGGTGGCAACAGTGATAATGGGGGTTACAATAACAATGGTTATGGCAGCGATAAACCCACCACAACTATAATTCACAACAATGTTATACCTGTACATGTATCCACTACTAGTTCGGGAGAAAAGGAAGTTTTAGACAGTTATGGACAAAGTTTGGGTTTGTATCCACCGCATCACGAAGAGAGACCTGATAGCAATACAGACTATCATGAGAATTCTAATTCAAATAATGGTTATTCCAATGGATTTCAAAATAATGAGTATCCCAGAACAACTACGAAAAGACCTTCGTATGTGGGCATCTCAACTACCTCTAGTACCTATGGTTCTACACCCAGACCTTATGATTATCAACCTACCGCCAGTACAATTAATCAGTACTTTACACCCAGTGAACATTTGGGAGAGCATAATGTTAATAATGTTTTTCCCTCGGTGGATAATTTTGGCAGTGTACCCAGACCCTTAAAGGGTAAGAGACCTAATCTACAATTATATAAACCCTCCCAGGAATATGTGAATAATGAGGACGGCTATGGCAGCCAGAATCAATTATTTTCGCAAATCGATAACCAAAAACATCATATGAGGCCAAATTCTCAAAATTATGAAAGCATGGAAAACGAAAATGATGATCTTATGAACAACTATCAAGATGACAATAATGAGGAGGAATCCCAATTAGTTACCTATACCTATGGCAAGAAAAAGAAACCGGGACAACAAGCTCAGTACTCAAATTATGCAAACTCTAACCCACAATCTTCCCTTAATTCAGCTTTTAGCAGCAACAATCCCTATATGTCTAGACCTCAAACCAATCACCATAATTCCCCTTCCTCTTCCCATTCATATTACTCCTCAGGTAAAAATAAATACACTCCCATAAGCTCACCCATATCCTCGGCCTACTCCGATGGTACACAACTTGTGAATGTGGGTGGTAACTTTATAAGCTTTGATGTTTTTCAAAATTCTATACTCCCTCTAGTGGGCAATAATCCGGCCAGTCTTTCCTCCTCTCTCAACAATGTGGAAGTGATTACTTGTGCGGCCGGTGTAAGACAACCCAATACCACGGATTGTACACGCTACTATGTATGCAGTAAAAAGGATGGCAAAGTTCTATCCTACTCCTGTCCGCCCTATACTGCCTTCAATCATGAGGCACGTATATGTGATGCCAAAACGTATGCCTTGTGTAATGCTGATACCATAGTGCCCAGCTATACAGTATCCGAAAATAAACGCCTACAGATGGAAACTTTGAAAGCGCTGCAGGAAGCCAAACGTCGTCAAATGTTACAACAGCAGCAGCAACAACAACAAGCCATTAAAGCTCAAAATCTCGCTAATCTATTGCAGCAATACAATAACCCCTCCTCCTCCAACTCACCCTTCAGTAACCCCCTCACATCTATAACTTCTCCAGATCAAGATAGTTCAGAGCAAAATATGCTCGATTCCTATATGCAACAGGCCTCCTCGTTATCACAAAGTTTTGGCACAACACCCCGCCCCCAATTAACCACACCCACCGTTAAGAAACGCAAATATTATTGCAAAGAGGGTGATAAAATCGCCGATCAAACTTCAATTTATAATTATTTTGTTTGCTACAAAAATGCCCAGGGTCAAATGAAGGGTCATAAGATGACCTGTTCCAAGGGATTGCTATTTTGTCCGAAATCCACTATGTGTACCTTGCCATCAAAATGTTCGTAATTTATTTATTTAGTTTTTAAACCTATTAGTTTTAGTTTTCAGTATTTGCCAATTATCTGTAATTTTAATTATTTATTTATTTAGTTGTTAAGTTTAGCGAAACAAATTTATTTATTTATAACAAAAAAAAACTAAGAATTTAAATTAATCCCAAAAGATTACAAGAAAATTATATTAATTACTACTATATATAATTATTTTGTATTTAAAATAAGAATAAATTATTATGTACGATGAAAAGAATGTTTAAAATATGTGTTTAATTTTAAACTTGAGGAATTATATTTTCAACTTTGAGTTCAAAGTCTAGATTAAATATTTTTCACAGAAGTATTATTTTAGTCTTAAGCAAGAATATAATATGTACGGCCAAAGGCGAAGAGCTCACCGACTTTTGAGCCCTTCGACATAATCAGTACATCACACCTGTGAGAGTGTACATCCTAAATTATTAGAATGGTCGTACTGGTATCATACTGACTAAACAGTTCATACAGTTCACCAGAGAGGTCATCCCAGTTTTAATATCCCGCAGTTGTTGAGGCAGATCAGGAAGAACCTTCGTGAATACGAGAAGATCATACGAAATTATGTACAGGATCACTTTGTAGATCGAACTTTATATACAGAAGCTTTGAACGATACTCATAAAGACGCCATCAATACCTCGGTATCAGGTTACCATATGAAGGTAGATGGTTCTAATTAGACTTATCGCGATTAGCTAGATAGTGTGATGATTTATCGAATATTATAAGGGTCGCTCGTCAAAATTCTTGGAAATGATGTTTATGCTCAGAAGGAAGACTAACTGGGACTTCAACCTATTTCCCGTATCAACATTGATAGAATCGTAGAGAAACTTACACTCTTTCAATGTCGCAACAGCTAGGACGTGCAAAACCTCAGTACAAAAAAAAGAGATACCCTAGGTGGTTTTCTGATAAACTGTTCCATAGAGCAGAAAGATCTGGCGAATGGTGTATATATAAATCATCTCTGAACAAATTCAAAAATCGGGTTAGGATCGCAATACGTAACATAAGAAAGAAAAGCTTCTCAGGAGTTATAAATACAACTGGCACAAAAATAACAGAACCGAAGTATACAAAACAAGGCACAACGAAAGATTATGAAATCACTTAAATTTTTTATAAATTTAAAAGCTTTTAATCGGATAAAATTAATAAATTAATAAATTTTACATTAAAAAATTAATTTTGGTATCAAAATAAATAAAATATCTGTTAATTTTCATTTTTGTTATACCTACCCACTGTATTTTTCATACATAACTTTTAAATGCAACCCTGCACACTCTTTAGCATTGACACAAACCTCTCCACCCAACAGCTGACCTGAAAAAATACAAAAATGACACATCACTGACATTTATCAACAAAATAAATTGGATTTTTTTGTTTATAGTGTGAAAAAAAAAGAAAATAAAGAAATTTTTATAAATTTAGGACATATTGTGAACAAAAAAAAAACTAAAAAATATGGCACAAAATGAAACGAATCTCAGCGAACAACTGGACAATGAAGAGGTTCGAGAAATCTTAAAAAATACCACAGATTTAAGACAATATTCGCGACAAATTGAGAAAGAGTTCAAAGAAGTTGAAAACAAATCAATAGAAGACTACATTAAGGAATCCCAAAATATAGCAGCTTTACACAATCAAATCGGTGAATGTGATGATGTGCTGGAGCGTATGGAAAATATGTTGATGAGTTTTCAAAGTGTCCTCAGTAATATAAGTACCGAAATTACCCAGCTGCAAAAGAAATCGGTGGCCATGTCAGTACAACTCACCAACAGACAATCGGTTAAGGCTCAACTATCACAATTCATAGAGGATATGGCGGTGTCGGAAGAAATGATTATGTCTATAATGGAAACACCTGTTACCGAGAAGGAATTTGAGAAGCAATTGAATATTTTAAATCACAAACTGTCCTTGGTAAAGGAATTGAGTTTTAAAGAATCTAAATCGACAGCTGATGTAGCGGATGTTTTGCACAAGTTGAGGCTTAAAGCCATGACTAAAATACGTCAATATATGCTGGAACAAATCTATAAATTTCGCAAACCCATGACCAATTATCAAATACCCCAGAATGCCATGTTGAAACATAAATTCTTTTTCGAATTTATACTCTCCAATGAGCGTCAAGTGGCCCAGGAAATATGCAATGAATATATTGATACTATGAGTAAAATTTATTATAGTTATTTTAAGGTAATTATTTTTATTAAGTTTTTTTATAAGTAATATAGATAAATTTGTTTTTAGAGCTATTCCTCCCGCTTGTCTAGCTTGAAATTTGAAGAGTCTTGCACTAAAGATGATTTAATGGGTATTGAGGATAATATTTCCAAAGGCTTGTTTGCCAAAACTACTAGTTTAAAAAATAAAAGTACTATTTTCACCATCGGTAAAAGAGGCGAGATTTTAAATCAACAACTGGAAGCACCTATTATAGTGCCACATGCTCAAATGAAAAATAGGGTAAGGAATTTTATATTGAACTATTTTTTGCATTCCTTTTGAATATGAAATTTGATGGCATTATGTAGTAAGTTGTTTGAGATGACGATTTTTGCCACGTCAGATTCGAAAAATACACCTATCTATCTATCTATCTATCTATCTATCTATCTATCTATCTATCTATCTATCTATCTATCTTCCTATCTTTCTATCTATCTATCTATCTATCTATCTATCTATCTATCTATCTATCTATCTATCTATCTATCTATCTATCTATCTATCTATCTATCTATCTATCTATCTATCTATCTATCTATCTATCTATTATCTATCTATCTATCTATCTATCTATCTATCTATCTATCTATCTATCTATCTATCTATCTATCTATCTATCTATCTATCTATCTATCTATCTATCTATCTATCTATCTATCTAACTATCTACCTATCTACCTATCTACCTATCTACCTATCTATCTATCTATCTATCTATCTATCTATCTATCTATCTATCTATCTATGTATCTATCCATCTATCTATCTATCTATCTATCTTTCTTCCTATCTTTCTTCCTATCTTTCTTTCTATCTATCTATCTATCTATCTATCTATCTATCTATCTATCTATCTATCTATCTATCTATCTATCTATCTATCTATCTATCTATCTATCTATCTATCTATCTATCTATCTATCTATCTATCTATCTATCTATCTATCTATCTATCTATCTATCTATCTATCTATCTATCTATCTATCTATCTATCTATCTTTCTATCTATCTATCTATCTATCTATCTATCTATCTATCTATCTATCTATCTATCTATGCTGTGTAATATCAATATTTTGGCCTTTGTAGGCTTTATATTACAAATAAATGAAATAAATAAAAATAAATAAAATACAACCAATAGAAAATGTATTTGAACAATTTTAATAGAAATTAATTATATATTATATATATAATTAATTCTATATTTCGACAAGATTTAACAGCAAAAAAATTCCAAAATGTACTTGTTCGTAAAAGTAAAGTGACCTTCAAGTGCGTAATAACAAAAAACAATCAAATTCGTCTAAAACATTACTCAGCATGATTTAGCAAGTTCTTACTATGTAGATCTCTATCAAATAATTTAATATGTGAAGTAGAAATACATGAGTCATTGACTTCTTCTCATGAATACAAATACCGCAATAAATTGTGGGTTAATGAATTTTAAATAAAAATATATAATATTATTCTACTATGCTCAACTGCCAGCAATTTAAATATGGAAAAATTTAAAAAAATCCTATCTACCTATCTACCTATCTACCTATCTATCTATCTATCTATCTATCTATCTATCTATCTATCTATCTATCTATCTATCTATCTATCTATCTATCTATCTATGTATCTATCCATCTATCTATCTATCTATCTATCTTTCTTCCTATCTTTCTTCCTATCTTTCTTTCTATCTATCTATCTATCTATCTATCTATCTATCTATCTATCTATCTATCTATCTATCTATCTATCTATCTATCTATCTATCTATCTATCTATCTATCTATCTATCTATCTATCTATCTATCTATCTATCTATCTATCTATCTATCTATCTATCTATCTATCTATCTATCTATCTATCTATCTATCTATCTATCTATCTATCTATCTATCTATCTTTCTATCTATCTATCTATCTATCTATCTATCTATCTATCTATCTATCTATCTATCTATCTATCTATCTATCTATCTATCTATCTATCTATGCTGTGTAATATCAATATTTTGGCCTTTGTAGGCTTTATATTACAAATAAATGAAATAAATAAAAATAAATAAAATACAACCAATAGAAAATGTATTTGAACAATTTTAATAGAAATTAATTATATATTATATATATAATTAATTCTATATTTCGACAAGATTTAACAGCAAAAAAATTCCAAAATGTACTTGTTCGTAAAAGTAAAGTGACCTTCAAGTGCGTAATAACAAAAAACAATCAAATTCGTCTAAAACATTACTCAGCATGATTTAGCAAGTTCTTACTATGTAGATCTCTATCAAATAATTTAATATGTGAAGTAGAAATACATGAGTCATTGACTTCTTCTCATGAATACAAATACCGCAATAAATTGTGGGTTAATGAATTTTAAATAAAAATATATAATATTATTCTACTATGCTCAACTGCCAGCAATTTAAATATGGAAAAATTTAAAAAAATCCTATTGAAATTTCAACAATAAAAGCGAAACGTCCTTGGTATGTTCAATTCCATCTAATGTAAACTCCCTTTTTTGCAGTACACATTTGAGGCTTTATTCCGCTCTGAACAGTATGCTTTAGTGGACAATGCCTGTCGTGAATATTTATTTGTCACCGAATTCTTTATGGTGCGGGGAGCTCAGGCCCAGGATTTGTTTAATCAAATATTGGGCAAGACGTTAACCCTAATGATAGTAAGTTTTAGTTTAAATCTTTTAAAATATTAAAAATAACATGATATGATTATTCTAATAGAAAAATCTGGAAACCAGTATACAGGATTGTTATGACACCATAGCTATGTTTTTATGCATCCAATTAATATTTCGCTATCAGTTGATGTGTCATAAGAGATGTGTGCCAGCATTGGATAAGTAGGTTTGATGTTCTTACTATAATTTTTATGATTTATTATTTGGATTTTGCAGATACTGGGATTCCTTACAATCGGTATTTTGGCCACGTTTCGAACATGTGTTCCGCTTGAATATACAGAGTATTAGAGATTGTGATCCTACGAAATTTAATAAAGAGTTAGGACCACATTATGTAAGTAGAAAATATTAGAAGAGATGTATATTATTAATATTTCATCTACTTCTACTGACATTTCTTTTATCTAGATAACACGCCGCTACGCTGAATTCTCCGCTGCCATTGTGGGCATCTCTGAACATTTCCCCAATGAATTAGTAAGTCGTTTACTGTTGGAATTACAGAATGAAGTAGAATGTTTCATACTACGCATGGCCGCCATATTCCCAACACGCAAGGAACAACTTATTTATTTAATTAATAACTACGATTTAGTTTTGGGTGTGTTAATGGAACATACCCGTGACAATTCCAAAGAAGCGGAAGCCTTCCGCGAACAGCTTAATGCACGCAGTGCCGAGTATGTAGATGAAATATTGGCTCCACACTTTGGTGGTATTATACAATTTGTCAAGGAATGTGAACCTTACTATGAAAAGGAACAGCTGGAAGAGTTGCGCAAACAGGAACGTAGAAGTCTAGCTTTGGTGGCCAGTTTTTCGGCTAATTGGAAGAAGTCTTTAGAGGAATTAAATCGTGAAGTTTTATTATCATTCCCCTCACTTTTGACCGGCTCTCAATTGCTGCAATTGGCTTTGGCTAGTTTAGTGCAATACTATCACAGATTCCATAAACTCTTGACGCCCAATGCTCGGGCTCAATTAACCAATATACATGTGGTTATGGTAGAAATGAAAAAGTATAAATGTAATTATTGAGAACAGCAAATAATTGCCTGTTGTTAGAGAACTATTTATAATAATTCCATTAGTTGCTAGACAGATATATAAAATAAGTAAATATAATTTAAGTATTAACACAAATTAAAAATTTAATTAGCTGTTTGTTTTAATACATTTTTTTTATTGGGGAGGGAGAAAAACTTTAGTCCTCATCTTCAAACATCATTTCTACCAAATCCTTGTTGGAACAACGTTCACCATCCAAACGTTGGGGAGATTTCCAACGCAGTAAAGTGGGCAAGAAAACCAAATGTGTGTTGGGATCTTTGCGGAAGGGGCAATTCAAGTCTTTCCAACTGTAAAAAACAAATAACAACGTATTTCACAACTGTTAAATAAAATGTTTTCCCACAACCCCTCCACCCCTTGACCTTATTTTATAACTATTTACAGCCATATAATGATAAGCCATATTTATAAATAACTTAATAATTTCAAGTTCAAATGTGTTGTACTTACTAAGCACGTTCCCCCACATCTACATGAACAAAATGTGATTTTTCTGGAGCCTTTTCCAAAGCATTGTGAATGACCGGCTCAGCTAGAAAAGAAATTTTACCGCTTTTATTACCCTTTCAAAAAACAAACTCCATCCATCCATTTACCTTTTACACAATAGGGACACCAACTCTCACCATTCTCATTTTTACCTCCCGAAAACAAGACATGGATGGGTTGACCAGAACCTTCTAATTCTTCTACCAATTTTGTGAATTCTTCGTAACCTTTAACGTTGTGTTGTACTACCATGGTTTTGCTATTGATCAACTTCTGTTGTGTGCGTTGTAATGCGGTCAAATGTACTTGACGTTGTGATATTTTATAAATACCACCTACAAAATGCTTTATGGAAGTCGTTTTGTTGTACTTTTTATGTAAAACTTCCCAAAGAAATGTAGAATTTAATAAAAAATTCTTTCGTCACTTGTTTTAGATTGTGCCTGATTATTGATAATAAAAAAAATATTAGTTGCCGAACTAGTGCCAGAGCCCTGCGCCGACAAATGTTAACGGCGCCGGCGACTGACACTAAAAATATCGGCGGCGGCTTAAAATCGAATGTAAGCCGGCTAAGTTTTCAAAAACGGTTAATTTTAAATTTTTCAAAGATTTTAAATCAAAACGGAATAAAATAGGGCAAGCAAAAAAGTTGTGTGAGAAATTATGCAGGGATGAAAAAAATTTTAAATTTGATTAATTCTTAAAAATGAAAAACAAATTCTTTGACCAAGTTTTATAATGATCGGCCTATATTTTCCCAGGTATTTATTTTCGCCGCATAGTGTTATCTATATAATAAAGTTTTGAATAATATACATAGCAATTTAATTTGTTTTTTTTTTTTTTACCTTAATTTGTAATACGCCATTAAAAGCGCCTCTCAAAGACCTTTCACATGATATCAAATTTAATTATCATACGTGAAATATAAATAATATAGGAAAAACTTTAAAAAAGTTCCTTTTTATTACTCGATCCAGATCACGAAACATTGGTCTAAGGACACACATTTTGGGAAACGGTATCTTATAATAAACCACGAGATGAGAACTACGAGATGACAAAAGTTAATTTATTTTCAATAGCTGTCGGCGGTAAATATTAAAATATTAAATCCTAGGGTGTCCGTAAAGACCAGCGGAAAAAACCTGAATAAACAATATTCTGCTTTTATGTACTTATGTCAAAAAATATTAAAAATATCTCCAAATTTTTCATAAAAACTAAAATATACAATTTTTGTTCAATAATCCCAGATTTTTTGATGACTTTTTGAATTTCATTTTTTTCAATTGTTTATTTATGCATCACTTTTTTAAAATAAAGTATTACGTGATTTGCAATTTTTATTTCCTGTATATGTACTGAAATATAAACCTATAATACTCTGCCTTACAGTTAAATAAGGGATACATTTTTCACTGGCAGGCCACATTTCCATTCCGACATGATACACAGATTTCACAATTACTTTCACAAAGATTTCAAGTCATATATTATGTGTATAACTAGGGTTGTCATTCGAATAAAAATTATTCGATTAATCGAGGAAAAAAATTTTGTTTTTCTTCGAACGAATAAAAAATTTTCAATTTAGAATAAAGAATAATTCGAACAATTTTTGCCGATTAATCGAATATTCGAATAATATTTGAATGTTACTTTTTACGAATATTTTATTATACATAGCATTGAAATTATGTTAATATTTTGTAACACAAATCTAAATATAAAGATATGTTATAATTGAAACAAAACTTTTACTACTTTTTGCAGTACACAGAAAAAAGTTTGAGCATAAATATTATGAACAGCTTTCATTGACTAAAGTTAATAGTATTTAAGAATAAGTTCCTAAATTGTATGAATTTTTTCATTTTTATTTTTTTAAAAATAATCTAGAAGCCTTGACTTAAAAAATTAAAAATTTTCTTTCTATTTTTCTATTTTTTAAAAAATGTTTGAAATTTTCTTTGGAAAATTTTTTATTTCTTTATGATTTTTAGATTGAAAACAACGAAAATGCGCGTAACTTGCAGGATTGTCTGAAGAATGGATGTTTTGCTATATTTCATATTTTGTTTTCCAAAATTTTTATTTATTTTTCATAAAAATTCGCTAATTATTATTATTTTATTTTCTAAAAAAATGGAACATTGGATATTTATTGCAATGTGGATATTTATTGCAATTTTTTATGAAAATCAAAGAAAATAAGTAAAAAAACCAAAAAGTTCATTCATGTACAAATTCGTACATTTTATGAACTTTTAATATTCCGAATGAAAATGGTTTGGGAAAAAAAAGTCATGTTCGATTCATACAATTTATTACAAAATTCATTCTAGTTATGTATTATTTTTTTCTGTGTATATAAAAATTTTTGTTTTGTTAAAAATGAAATGGTTCTAGTTTTAAAAGTGATATTCTTCAATTTTTTTAATGTTTGCTTAATTTTTGTTTAATGTTTCAGTATCTGTCTTTTTACAAGAAAGACAATTTCTAAATATACTGAACCCTGTTTCCTGGGCGATGTGTAAGAGAACTGTAGGCATGAAATTTTTGATTTTTTGATTTTTTATTCATCCTTTATTAATTGGTTTATTTACAATATATACAAAATTTTGAGATTTTATCAATTAGATATTACAGCAAATAACATAATGGAATTATAATAAATAAATAATTTTTGGATATTTGATACATTTAAAGGCAAAAACAGGGAGAAAACCTTTATTTGAATGGAAAAGAAAGTCAAACATGTACAGAAAATATGTAGTTTTATGAATAGGCTATTTTTAAAAATAGTCTTTCATAAAATTACGATTTTCAGTTTGATGATTCAATATTAATTCAGATAAGTGGCCTACATTCTCGAATCAGTGGATACGAGGAATTTTCAACTTTTTCGAAATATTTATTATTTAGTCTTGTTATAAAATCAAATATTTTTTCATATTTAGTTTCCTGATGTAGAATGTTAGTTGGATATTTCCAGTTTTTGTTATTTATTATTTTTAAACATTTATTTTGAATAATTTGCAATCGTTTTAGATGATAATTTGCAGCCGTATACCAAACAGGGCTAGCATAAGTTAAAATAGGTCTTATAATACTTTTATAAAGTAGATTTTTATTTTTGGCATTCAAATAAGAGTGTTTATTCAGAAGGGGCCATAACGATCTTATAGCTTTGATAGCTTTTTGACACGCCTGTTCAATGTGTTCTCTAAAAATTAACTTTTTATCTAAGATCACACCTAGATATTTAACGCAATTATCTATAGGGATGTGCTCATTCCCTATGGATATTTGTCTTCTTGGGATTCTTTTAGGAGATTTGTTATATGGAAATATTATAGCTTGAGTTTTATTTGGGTTTATTTTAATTCTCCATTTATGGAAATATTTAGTGCAAGCTGAGAGTCCCTTTTCCATTTTCCTAAGCAATGCGCTGGTAAGTTTGCTCGATGAGATCAAAGCAGTATCATCTGCATAGTAAGCTGTTTCTAAATCTTTTGGTGCTGTAAAATCCGAAGTATAGATTGAGTAGAGTATTGGGGATAATACGGAACCCTGTGGTAAACCATTAGTTATTCCTTTAAGTGCGGAATTTACTCCATTTAGAGCAACACAAAAGTTTCTGCTATCTAAAAAACTGTCAATTAATCCACACAAATATTTTGGTACATTTGCTTCTAGTAGTTTATATAAAAGGCCTTTATGCCAGACTGTGTCAAAGGCCTTTTCTATATCTAGTAGTATCATACCAGTGGACCGTTTGGTGGTAATGTTGTTAATAATTTTATTTTTAATTCTGTTTATCTGGTGTGTTGTACTGTGCTCTTTCCTAAAACCGAATTGTGATTTGGAAAGAATAGAATTTTCCTCAATGAATTGATTAAGTCGGGAATGTACAATTTTCTCTAAAAGCTTACCTAAATTGCTCAGCAAACTAATTGGTCTATAGCTGCCAGGATCATTTTTTGGTTTGTTGGGTTTATGAATGGGAATTATCTTTGCTGTTTTAAATATACTGGGAAAATAATTAAGTTTAATACAACCATTAAATATTGTAACCAGTAGTTTTATAGCATTTAAGGGAAGTTTTTTCAATAGAAGATTCGATATGTTGTCAAATCCGGGGGATTTAGATGATTTGAGTGATGAAATTAAGTTAATCATTTCACAGAGAGATGTATATCTGCAATCATCAAAAACTGTGTATTGATTTCGAAAGTTGTCTACTAAAGAATCAACCTTCTTGTCAAAGGAATGACTGAAATGTGCTGTGAGGTTATTAGCCTGAACAAATCTATTGGCGAGAACTTCAGCCTTCCCGCTGTCAGAAATAATTTTAGTAATTCCTACATTCAAATGGGGGATTTTTGTCTGACCTTTAGCTCGTAGGTTTCTACTTATTCTCCAAAATGATTTGTCACCTGGCTTCAATTTGGATAAAAGTGCTGACCATTTCCTATTTCTTTCAGTATTAATATTCTCATCAATTAACTTGCTCAGAAACCTTGAATATTGTTTGTAGAAATTAGCTTCAAATAAGTTAGTCGATCTATGAAATTTCCTATTAAATGTTCTTCTTACTTTTATATATTTAATCACTTTATCAGGTAATGTAACTTTGTCTGAAGGATATAATTTAGGAGTAGATATGTCTCTAGCTTCCAGAATGATCTTGCTTAAAGTACTTAATTCATTATCGATAATTGTTTTAGTATTATATATATTAGTGTTAGAAACTATTTTGTTATCTATATAGTTTTGAAAGGAATTCCAATTGGTTAATTTATAGTTATAATAGCTTAAATCTACCGTATTTACAGTTGTTAAACTAATAGAGCAGACAATCGGGCGATGGTCTGATGGAATCTCATATTCTAGTACTTCTAGGTTCAAATTTAATGTGGTGTTGCTTAAGACTAAATCTATTGTAGACGGAGCACGTCCGTGTTGATGAGGGTAGTAGGTTGGATCATTTGGATAATAAACGAAGAAGTTGCATGTATGTTGTAATTGACTGAGCACGTTACCAGCGGTGTTATTTCTTATACAGTTCCACGAGGTATGCTTGGCGTTTAAATCTCCAAGTAGTATGTAATCTTTGCTTGGCGAAGTTAATTTAAGGATATCATGTTTAAAATTATGGTTATAATGGGCTGAATATGCTGCTATTATTTTCATAGGTCTGTTATTTATCAATATTTCAACTGAAATATTTTCTATTGATTTAGTTTTATCCACAGAAATATTTTTGTGGTTAATATGTTTATGGATAATGAGAGCAACTCCTCCTCCCCTTGATCCGTCGGTTCTGTCATTTCGATAAATATAATAATTTTTGAAATATGGTTTATTCGTTTCATTAAAAAAGGTTTCGTTAACAGAAGCAACTTTAATTTTTTCTTTTTCTAGTAGAAACTCAAATTGAGTTAGTTTGGAATAATTTGAGATGCCATT